GCCTGCTGGCGCTCGCCCGCCTGCATCTCGCGCACGGTACCTACACAAGTGCATTCGTCTTTCGCCTTGCAACATGACAAACCTATACTATCCTAAACCTCACTTGCATAGATTAACTAGTAATTATAAACGACACTTTTCCACTTATTGTTGCTGAATCTTATAATAATATTCTATATCCTGTTACAGAGCGGTACCGCGCACTCGACGCTAAACTCAAGTCAAATCCTCTATCCTTAGAAGAAGTAAGTAACTCTAATAAGAAGATACACAATACATATTCTATTTTCTTATTTCTTTTCATGGTGTGACATTTGAATATATTTTCAAGGTTATCCTGATGACGATCTACTCATGATGGCGTGAAGATGTCACCATGTATCCTGTCAGTACTGCCCTGGGCGAAATTACGGCGCTCCTTTTTTCCCAACTTAGGAGGGCGTGGAAGAGTAACGCGAGATAGTAATTTAAAAACTAATGCCCAGTTCACATTTAGCCAGTGCAGTTAGGCAGCCGCGAATGCCAGTAACAATTTGTATGGACCCCCTAGCGCCAGTTAGCGTTCACACTGTGCCTGTTGATTGACAGTCCATTTATTGAGCGCTACTAGCCTACTGTACTGGCCAAGTGTGAACCGAGCATTATAATGTCCCCCTGTATCCAATGCCCAGGCCATCGCGCAGCCGCACAACAACACCGGCATTGTTCCCAGTTGTTACTCCGACTGTTGTTTTTGTTATAAAATTGTTGCTTGTTATTTAATAACTTATTAGAGTGTATTTAATATATAGATTGTTGATTAAGCATGTTTAAACAATAAAATTGTATGTAAGCAATATGGCATTACTAAGAAGTCTTTAAAGATCTTGGACCAAATATTTCGATAAAAAATACGCTCCTAACCAAAGATTTCTTTAGTCCAGTTATCATTGTTAAATTTTCTAATTAAACTAATAAAATTGAACGTTATCTAAAAAAAATCTTTCTCAGTGTTAAGTACAAATGATGGCAAAACTCGTTCTTTTCTATAAGATTTAACAATGCATCATTCAAATGGACTCATCTTAATACGTCTGTATGTAGATTGTGATAATATTGATATTTTATTACAAAATGATTTTAGATATTTCAGAATAATTTTTAACTTGTCTATCAAATTTCTTTAAATTATTAAAAATTACTTATTCTTTTTTTAATTTAGTACCAATAAAGAATTTGGTTTTTACTTAAGTGTTTTTTTGCCATAACCTTAGATCCTAGCACAAATACTTAAACGAGACTATTCACCTCGAGAATACACAAAATTGTATGGGTTCTATCCATTTAAGAGCAGAGGTAAGATCAGTTAAGTTTCACATATAACTAATAAATAATTTGGTTGTTACTAAAATGTTTTAAATGCGTGTGGTCGTGATTTTTCACTGCTGAAACAAGTACAACTGTCATTTCATATTATTTTCGAACGTCTATGCTTAGACGTCATCGTTCAACAAATGTCAATCGCTTTGCCCGGTTCACACTTGGCCAGTACAGCTGAACAGTTGGGACAGCCAGTCAAAGATAGCATAGATCTGGTGGGTGTTAGCGTTCAAAGTGTGCCACTTGATTGACAGTCCAGTTATTGAGCGCTACGATCAACTGTACTGGCCGAGTGCAAGCCGTGCATTTCATTCTGTCACTCAGTCAATTGTCAATGATGGGTGACGGACTGTCATTTCAGTATCCGTTATCCGGTCGGCGCTAGCGCATAGTGTTTTATCATGTTCTAATTTTTGCATTTACAGCTATTTTGTTTTAAATTAAAAGGAATAAATAAATTTCAATGCAATGATTTTGATAATCACAATATTAACACTTATATCTTGTGGACCCTTTGTTGGACCATCCTCCGTGCCTAGGGGAGAATATGGGGAAATTAAATTATTCCAGTCGCCGGCAACTTACAGCGTGGAAAGTATGGTCCTGTTGAATGACGCTGGCAAACAGGATAAGGAGATTGGATATAAAATCGCCGGCAGTTTGGACGTTCAGGTCGTATGGGGAGTTGACTCAGACCTCCTTATAAAATTCACTGTACGTATAACTTTTTCATTTAAAATACTGAAATATTGAAATTTTAATAATTTATGATTCTTATTCTAACCGTAAAGTTAATGAAAATTATTACATACAAGGTCCTGAAGTACTCTAAAATGGCATGGTTGGCCCTATAAAAATTCTTGATCAAAGTTCTTTTGTTAAAATAACTTAGTATACGAATGTTGTTGGTATAGATAATGGATAAACCCATACATATAATAAAACATTGATAAATATTGTTTTGTTACAGTTAAACTCACCAAAATTACTTGCAAGAGGAAAATTAGTGACTGCAGATTATTTGCCCATTAAGTCAATATGGGATCCTTATTATAAGACTGAATTCTATGCTCATTGGAGAAATGGTATCATTACTGAAGCATACTTAAATCCTGACGAAGTGTCTGATGTTTTGAATTATAAAAAGTCTCTTATAAGCCTTTTTCAGGTATGTTATATAATTTTTAAACACTTGTTAATTTTATTTATAGGAATTAAAAGTAATTGGCACAATTATTGAACATGGTTTGGAAGAATGCAAACACTGTTTTTGCATACAAACTAAGTTGGGGACATCAGCTTTATTAACAAATTCCTAAACATTAGTATAATAAAATATAGCCTATGTTACTAACAGATAAATTACCTTTCTGATGGTAAAAGAATTTTTATAATCGGTCCAGTAGTTTTTGAGTTATTTCAATACATACAAAAATACAAATCATTCCTCTTTATAATATTAGTATAGATTTGTATATTTCCAGCTTCAAATTATTGATGGAGAACACAATGAAACTGATGTTTCGGGGAATTGTGATGTCCTCTATGATTCTATTTCCATGCAAGTTATCAGAAAAATTAAGGTAAATTATTAATTTTATCATCCCATCATTTGTGCAACATAATATGTTATTTTTAAAAAGAAGTGGAGTGTGTTTACAGTGCAATTCTTCTGTAAGTGGCGCACTGCAAATTTCCGCTACTGTACATAATAAAATACACTACAAATAGCACTGTATATTTTAATTGCTTTTGCAGTCACACTGTAAACATCCAGATACAAAAGATTCAACCGAAGGCATTAAATCACGTCGTCTCACAAGATACACACTAAACGAGAAACTAGATGCAATAGACGAAATACATGCTGAGGAATTACATACAGCTGGCTATGAAGAGTTAAACGCTGCTATCAAAGCTCGTGCTTGGATGCGTTTACGTCGAGACGGTGTGCCTAGGACCACAGCAACTAAGTACAATGATCTTGAAAGTGCGTTAGCAGAGCTACCTTCAGATCTTAAACCAGTAGCATTGCCTATGCTCATGATTGAGGATATTGATGATGATGATGTGGTAAGTCATTTATTATTACTAAAAATGGGGTGGATAGAAATGATGTCCTATTTTGCTTAAGGGTCAATGGGCAGTGTCTTTATTTAGGGGAATTTGGGTGAAAAAAGACTATATTGATAAAATTCGTGTGTCTGTCCTAATAATAAAGAAATATATTTCGTGAATGAAAACACTGTGATGCAACATGCTCATAACGGTGAAGAAATTCAAAGATATGTGTGTCAAGTCAACCAAACCACAGTGGGCCAGCATAGTTGACTATGGCCTAGTCACCTATTTTGGGTAGGCTCCGAGCCCCTCAGTGGGGACATATAGTGAGATGGTTATGATCTTATTTTGTAAACATTAAGTATATGTGTAACAGTGGTAGTGCACGCTTTAACATCTTAGCACGAATGGGCCGGCATGCCCGGTGTAATACCACGACCACACAGAAGACAGGCGTGAAATGGAAGCAATTCCGTGTTTCGTCTGATGAGTGTGGTGCCGGAGGCCTAATTTAAGTCCCTTACTCTTTACCACCCTTTTCTTTTAAGAAGAGGTTGGTAAGGGGAAGTGGATTTGACGGTGGAGAAGATGCATAGGAAGGGGAAATATCCTCTTTTTGTGCATCTCCTCCTCCGTCGTATAAGGGTAGGCAACGCATCTGCAATTGCGGATGTCTATGGGCAGCGGTCGCTTCGCCATTTTGGCGATTTCAGGGGGCCGCTTGCTCGTTTGCCACCTTATGTTATAAAAAAAAAATGCATAAAGAAATGTGGACTTTGAAAATGTTTGTCCGTTCACAATAATTTTACAATGGTGGTACAATTTTTCTAATAGTTTCTTTGAACTATAAGTAAATATTATTACAACAATTAGTAACACTTACTCTTGTTGTAATAGTCAATGTAAATAATTTTTACTTTAATGTGTGTTTAGAAAAAGAAATCATTAGTCAGTGATAAGAGTGGCCACGTGGAAGTATAGGAGACGTTGATAAAGTAAACATAGTGGCTTATCTTTGACCCTCATGAACTATATAATAACTGTAATGGACCATATAATGTCAATGTTATTACACTTTGTTACTCACGTTAATTTGGGGTGGACAGAATAATGAATGTTCAATTGATGAATTTTTGAATACTGTAGGAATAATTTTGAATTGAATTAAAACGCGAACATTATGAATGTGAAAGTTTTGATGGATGAATGTTTGTTAGAGTTTGTAGCAAAAACTGCTGAATGGATCTTGATGAAATTTGTGACAAATATAGAAGATAGTCTGGAATAAAACAGTATGTATTAAAATAACTCAAAAACGACTGGACTGAGTAAGTAACATAGGGTATATTTTATTATTATTTATTAACGAGCTGTTGCCCGCGACTTCGTCCGCGTGGTATTAGAAAATATGCGAACTATACAAATTACAAAAAGCTACGTATCCCTCGGGAACCGGACATTTCTCGGAGATGAAGCTTATCCCATGTGTACTCCAGACTTTGTTTTATATCTATGCCAAATTTCAATAAGACATGTTGAACCGTTGCAGAATGATCGAGTAAACATTAAAAAACTCAATTAATGAATCCCACAGGAACCGTAACTATTCTCGGGATAAAAAGTATCCTATGTGTTCTTCCAGACTATGTTCTAAACCTGTGTCAAATTTCATGGAGATCCGTTCAGCCGTTTAGGCTACAAACGCTAACAAACATCCATCCATCCATCCATCTAAACTTTCTCATTTATAATATTAGTAAGATTAGTAAGATTTCACGCAGACGAAGTCGTGAGTAAAATTTAGTAAGAAATTAGTATTATATATCTGAACACTGTTTGTGACTGAATGGCCACTGTTTACCTTGAAAAAGCATTTACAGATTCACCGGTATTGAGGTGGCGCTTAGCCTAAACCTCGTTTATGAATAACTAAGCTCGAGGGCTCCCTCAGGAGTCTCGGGGGGAGCCGTTACTTCGTTATTATTACCGGATTGGACTCACTGAACACTTTATTCTTTCAATGTGTAATTGTTGGTGATATTCCAGTGATGATAATTATTGTAGGATTTAGAAGAAGCTGTCAATGCGGTTGTGGGGGAGGGTGAGGACGAGGCGGCGGGCGGGGGCGGCACCGCGGGCGCAGCGCTGGCGGGCCTGCGGGCTCTGCGCGCGCTGCGCAACGCCTCCCGGGATCAGATAGCCGCGTTACTGCGCGCACAGACTGATGCCACATCATTGTTAGTATAGACCACTTACTAGTATTTACAGAACAATGCATTAAGTATAATGAAAACTTGCATACATATCTCCAAAGATTTTTTTTAATCTGTCTATATTCTCTGTCTTTCTCCGCACACCAGTTTTGTTCCGGGTAATATCCGAAACGGGTGGAACTTTGACTTGAGGGTAGCTGGTAGAAGGTAGATGCAAGCGGGAATGAGACGTTTTTTTTTTAAATTCCGCGCTAGCGAAGTTTGCGGGCAATAGTTCGTTTTTCGTATAAGTTTATTCATTCGTTCATTAAAATATAATGTAATGGTTCACCATTACTTCAGTACTGAATTTAATTTGTTTTTGTGAATTATGTGATATATGGAATCAACCTAGTAAAGAAGCCAAGGATATATAATTTAACAAAATACCGGATTTAAAAATTAAAAGTGAAAAAAAATGTGTGAAATGTATTTGTAATATTGTGTTTTTTTGTAAATAAATGAAATAAAATCCATCTATCTAGGACAGCGCTGTGCCGCGTGCTGGGCGCGGCGGGCGCTGCGGCGGCGCACGCGGCGGTGTCGCGCGAGCTGCCGCTGGCGGAGCGCGACGCGCCGCCCTCCGTTATTGAATATCTCAACGCGTTGGCATTAGCACACGCACCTGATGTTGGTATTATCTATTTATCTAATATTATAAAAAGGAAAACTTTGATTGTTATGAATAGGCTCAAAAACTACTAGGGCCGATTTTAAAATAGTTTCGCTTTTACAAAGGCAATTTATCTGTGAGTAACATAGACTATATTTTACATTATCTGTGCCGAATTTCTTGGAGATCCATTCAGCCGCTTAGGCTAGAAACTAACAAACATCCATCTAAACTTTCGCATTTATTATATTAGTATGATTTGATATGTGAATATTTGTTTATTGCAGGATTCTGTAGTGTTGGACGTGTTACGGCTGGGTGCGGAGGCGCGGGCGGGCGCCGTGCGCGAGGCGGCGCTGCTGGCGGCGGCGGCGGCGGCGGCCGCTCCGCACCTCGCGCACACTGTGCGGGACGCCCTCACTAAGCAACTGGCTAGATGTCTTGTAAGTTGTTACATATGGATAAACTATAATTATAACTTACTACTGTTTCCATTGTAAACATCGCACAATACATCTTTTTCTTAACTAAGCGTTTTCTAACATTATAACGCACGCGACAATCATTCTATACTATTATATGTTTGGGAATATGCATGTATTTTTTCTTTTTTTAAACGATTCTACTTGTTATAAAATAACCAGAAAATAAATTTGACGCGAAAATATTCAATAGCTCAATGGTTAGCTAAACCTAATAATATAAAATTACGACCATTTTCGAGCGACTAAAACACGACCGCAGTTGTCACGAGACACGTGACGTCAATCGTCATACTACATTCATAACATACGCTCAAATGTCACTGTGATGTAAAAATACAACAAAGTATAGCGCGCCATCCTGGCGAGATCAGTGGCTCTGAGTGTTTAAGCTAATTCCGGTTATATTAACCTTTCAATCATTTAATAACTTCTGGTATTCAGCTGGTATTCAAGTATTATTCGTATAATAATGACTAGGATGATGACTGCCGTGCATTAGTAGCGCGTGCTCTCGGCAACCTGCAGCGCGCGGACACCGCGGACTTACTGCTGGAGTTGGCGGAGCGCGGGGGCGCGGCGCTGCACGCGCTGCAAGCGCTGCAAGCGCTCCCACATACAGCGATCACACCGGACAAGCAGCGCCGGCTTGCAGCGCTCGCGGCTAGCATCAGACCGCTGGAAGTGCGTGCTGCAGCGCTGGATTTGTTCCTGACGCGTACAGCGCCGCTGCCGCATCCGTTAGTGCTGGCGCGGCTGTCGCGCGAGCTGCACGTGCACGCGCCCGCGGAGCTGCGCAGGTTGTTCTGGCAGCGAGCGACGCAGCTCGCGCAGGAACATAAGCCGCTGGCGGATGTGCTGGAAATGCTGGATCCGGAGCAACGAGGCTGGAATGCTTTAGCTCTACCGGGTTAGTTGCAATTTTTTTGATAATTAAAGTTATTTTTTAAAATGTGTGAGAATGGTTTCTTAAAACTTAACATTTCATCTGCATTGAATTAAAGAAAATAATCATTATCGACCAGATCCATGCTGTTCTGGAGATTCATTAAATTAACATCCATACATTTATCCAAACTTTTACGATTATAACATTACTAGTAATCGCTTTTTATTCTATTCACGCGGATTAAAAAAAAAATAACTTACATGTCCTTCCAGACTTTTACATCTGTATCAAATTTCCTTTAGATCCCAGTAATTCCAGATGTACAAATTAACAAACATCCATTTAAACTTAATTTATAATAGTAGGAGGACTGTTTGATTTCGAAATATGTAATACTAGCTTTCGCCCGCGAATCCGTCCGCGTGGATTAAAAATAAAAAAAGCGAGTAGCCTATGTGTTCTTTCAGACTATCCTCTACATGTATACCAAATTTCATCGAAATCCGTTTAGCCGTTTAGGCTACAAATTAACAAACGATCCATGTAAACTTTCGCATTTATAGTATTAGTATGATTTTAGGTACGTCGTCGTCGCTGGTGCGCGAGGTGGGCGTGTTCGGAGTGGGCGGCGCGCGGCTGGAGTCGCTGCAGCTGGCGGCGCGCGGCGTGCTGCGGCGCGGCACCGTGCGTCTGCGCGTGCACGCCGCCCCCACACCCCTGCTCGCGGTATACACCCCTCATATATCATACTAATATTATAAATGTGAAAGTTTAGATGGATCGTTTGTTAGTTTGTAGCCTAAACGGCTGAACCGATTTTGATCAAACTTGATACATATGTCGAGGATAGCCTGGAAGAACACATAGGCTACTACTGTTTTTTTTTATTACACGCGGACAAATTCGCGGGCGAAAGCTAGTACTATAAAGAGGAAATATTCGTATTTTTTATGTATAGAAATAACTCTAAAACTGCAAATTCTTTCACAATTAAAAAGCTATGATATCGGTGAGCAAAGGCATTTAAGAGATATGTAGACTAGAAAGGTAACACCATTTTTTCACAGGTAATTTTGACACATTGCGACGCTTCTCAGTGTTTAAATTATGTGAAAATAGGTAGCGCTAGTGAGATTATGTGAAAAATGTTTATTTCTTTTAAAACCGTTTTTTATTTAGATTGAGTTATGGACCCGTGGTCTTGAGTCTCTGGCGGGCGGGGCTGAGAGCGCGGAGGGCGGGGCTGAGGGCGCGGAGGGCGGGGCGGAGGAGGAGATGGGCGGGGGGCTGGTGCTGACGGTGGGCGGGGCGAGGCTGCCAGGCGTTACACTCTTCGACGGACAGGTAATGGATAAGAACTATTTTACATATTTCGTTATAGTTTTATACCACTACACTAGTTTTACACTATGAAAGTAATTATTTGAGTAATTTGGTAGGTAAAATACTTGCTTCTATGTCATTTGTTAATCTACCCGACTAAATCTTTATAGTTCAGACATATTTTCTTATGTTTTGTGTCTTTTAGTCACAAAATTACTTAATACTTGATTGGATAATCATGCAAACTAGGTATAAGACATTAAACTAACCTTTACTGTTGACGTGTGGTAATAAATCTCAGTTAAAGGTGCTGGAAGATAAGAATTTAACTGTTACAGCCTTACAAATAAACGCGGTATAAAAATAAACTTAGGAATAACTTGAGTATAAGCAAATATTAGTACAAATTTCGCTACACAGTTTATTCGTTTATTTGTAAGGTTGTTATTTAAATGTGATTGGATTTCAAACCGTGTACTTTCCCTTAGGCGCAGCTGCTGGGCCAGGTGTGGTCTGGCGCAGGCAGCTCGGCCACGCCTGCGCTGCGCGCGCTGCAGCCGCTGGGCGCGCGCCGCGTAGTACTGCCGCTGCTGGCCGCCGGCCTGCTGCAGCTGCGCGCTGACGCAGCTGTTGCACTCGCGTTAGACGCACAGGTACAATACGATAACTAAGGCCCGTCGCATAACGACGTGAAGTACTACTTTTTGTGGTATCGCAACGTGTAAGAGACCCTTAGTGTACATGTGTCGTAAAGTTAATGTGTATAGGCTACGGTTTCCAAAACTCCACGACTAATGCCTATTTTGCAAAATGACAGAATGTATCATTTTGTAATATTTGATATTAATTTGGTATTAATATTTGAAATGTTTGAAAATGTTGCGGGAATTTATAGACTATCTTTTATTGAGGCCGTAATACAGCGAAAAATCGTAAAATGTTACAAATTTTTTTTTTCAAATTTCCAAGAAATTAATCCAATGTTATTTTTCACGCCAGTATGTTATATATCGTAATAGCAACTCATCTGTGGTTCCTCTGCCATTGCAGACGTCCATGGGCATCGAATCAAGTAGCATCACCCGATCCGCTGCTAGTTTGCCCCATAAAATAGCATTAAACGTCTTACGATATATGCGAAGGGCGTTAGTGCAACGTAAGTTGTGTGCGCAGGCGCAGGTGTCGCTGTGGTCGCGCACGGCGCTGGCGCAGGCGGCGGTGCGCGGCGGCGCGGCGGGCGAGGCGCGCGCGGCGCTGCGGCTGCGGGGCGGCGCGCTGCGGGCGGCGGCGCGCTTCGCCGCGGAGCCCCGCCTCAACGTCGCCGCGCACCTCGACTTCTACGACCGCACCACGCTCTGCGTCACAGTCTCCACTGAACATCATCTGCACAGGTACATGACACTCTTACATTAAGCTTTTTAAATGTATATATCTGTGTATACATACAATAAAATTGGAGCGTAATATCGAAAAATTCCACATTTCGAACATATATTTGCATTGCTGATAACGAAAAAAAATCTGTCTGTCTATCTGTTACCCACTTTTATTCCGGGTAATCTTTGGGGCGGGTGATCCAATTTTTACGGATTTTGACTGCACGGGTACCTGGTAGAAAATTCATGTATGTTATAGAGGACCATTTTTTTAAATGCCGCGCTAACAAATTTAGCGACAGCTCGTAAAACAAACATATTATTATTAATTTCTATTATTGACTTGTTCCAGTACCAACACGACGCTGTACTCCGAGCTGGGCAGCGCTCCACGCACCGTGCGTCGCCAGCGTCTGCTGACTGTACCGCAGCCCGGCCGCACGCTGGCGCTCGGCGCACTTAACGATGCTGCGTGCAACACGCTGCTCACATAACACGCGCATCGCAGTGTCACGTCACGTAACTCACAGTGACACGTCAAGCACGTCACAATGACGTCACAGTGTTGCGTCACGCATTTCACAGTGTTACGTCACGCACTTCACAGTGATATGTCACGCACTTCACAGTGTTACCTTACGCATATCGCAGTGACCCGTCACACACTTCACAGTGTTACGTCACGCATGTCGCAGTGACCCGTCACGCACTTCACAGTGTCACGTACAACACGTCACGGTACGTAAGCGTGTCCACATCGTAGTGTCACGTGACGTGACGTGCTCGTCCAACGCCAAAGCGCTATATACCAAATATTGTGCAACTGTTCTCAAACTAACATTCCTATTGCAAATAATAATATAATATTTCTAATCTAAGATTTTTTTAATTGAGTTTGTAATATTTTTGAATCTCATTAATAGATTAACGATGTAAAAATTAAAATAATTGACTTAACTTGCTTAGAGATTTAAAACTACATGAAAATACTGCAGCGATTGGTACAATTTTTATTTCCTTAAACTAATTAACATTGCATTTCTAAAGCTAACTTACACTCAACTTATTTATATTGTAATTATTTCGTACAACTTTTTAGAATATAGTATAGTAATTTTAAAAATAACTACAAATTTTACTTTATTGTATTTTTATAAGATTTAATAAGTAAGAGAAGAGATTAAAAAAAGTGTGTGCAATGCAATATTCGCAATATCTGTACTTTTGTTTTGTTAACAAAATTATATTAAGATTGTTGTAACTGTCGCGAATTAAAGCAGCTTTAATATTTGAAAGGTTTTTTATATTTAATGTTTATAACACTATGTTAACTTAAATGGAATACGGATTTATCTTTTATATGAATTTTGTGGCATTTATAATTAATTATGTAATAAATGGTTATTCCTACTCGTTGTTTCATTTTGATGCTTCAACATAACTAGACGGTGCTTAGAATAAAAGTTCCGATATTGTGCTAAGCTATCTACCACTCTCGTTCAATGAAGAAATTAATGCAGTAAAAATGTTGTGTAAGTTAATAAAAATGCAAAAAGAAAAATCATTTGTATTTATTGAAAAAAATAACATCAAAAATAGGTAATCGTAGCTCATCAACATCTCCCCTACATTATCCTCTCCTAGAACCACCGGGTTTTCGTCCTCCAAATAACTTATCATCCGTCATCTCAGTTATCACTCCCTTCTTGATCATGACACCTTTCACACAATCCATCCATCTCTAGGTCAACCTCTACCGGTGTACCTCCTCACTCATAAATAACGTTCTCCTTGTAATATGTGATTCATCTCCTTATAACGGGCCCATACCATGCTAACCTTTTACTCCTTAATTTCTCTACCATTGGGGCTACTCTGAAACTTCATCAAATCTCATTTCTTTCTTATCAATTTGTGTTATCCTACACATCCATCTTAACATTCGCATTAAGGCAACATCTAGTCTCCTTTCATCCGTACCTTTTACTGCCATAAGGGATGCAATCTATTCTTTGTTTTCATTTATTTATCATGACATTGTTATGATGAAAGGTTTGTATTTTTCTGTGTACTGAAATAACTCAAAAACTACTAAATCATTATCACAAAGTAAAATAGACTGTTTTTTTTACGCGCGCGAAGTCGCATGCAACAGCTAGTCGATAGTAATAATACTCTAGCAACACTGATTATCAATCATCTGACTTACGCATTTGACAGCTGCCTTTAGCAGGCTTATCTTATTTACTATATTTATTTTTTGGAAATTGTTTAAGTATACAAAGTCAAATTATGAAACTCGATTCCAACAACAAACTGATCAACAGTCATAATGGCGCTGACGCTTCCGAAGAAGTAGTGGATCCGCGACAAAATGCAGAAGATATAATTGATGAGATTCTCGCCGAGTTTACGGAATCACGAACACCGGAGCTCGTTAGAAACGGGAACAGCATTCCGGACAACCTGTTCAACATGATACAACCGCCTAGGACCAGGACGCCGGCTAATTCCTTCTCTGAAACTGCAACAATTGACGACATCGATCCGGCGTCCGATCTCGGAACATCCATAAGAAACAAATGCTTGGAACTGGAGGAAATCTTACAGAGTCTTAAATCTCGTCTTAATCATGTGGTTCTAGATGAAAATATTGTTCTCAGCCCTGAAGCTAATTCTATGGAAGCTCAATTAGAGCATGACTTGGACACAGATTGTCAGGAAGACCTTTCACTTCAAGAATTCCTTGAGCTTCTACATTCGCAAAATAAGGTAACATCAAGCGGCGTGCAATGACTATTTACATATTATTTATAGTTTAAGAATAAATGAATTTACTGTGCAAATTTGAGATTAGTTTTATTTGTAAAAGTAATCAATTAACTATATAGAAGCGCATTTTATAATAGAAAAATATTGAATATAAAGATAATGTAATTGGCAATTGTTGGATGAGAAATAAAAAACTTAACTTGACTCATTGTTTTTATTTTAATAAACAAGCTATCATTAAATGACAGTAATACAAACATTTTAAATCAAAACATTTCATCATCATCATTACCAGCTCGCTATACGTCCCCACCGAGGGGCTCGTAACCTACCCTAAAGTTAGGGTGACTAGGCCATAGTCAAACCACGCTGGCCAAATGCGGGTTGGTTGGCTTCACACATATCTTTGAATTTCTTCTCCGATATGTGCAGGTTGCATCACAATGTTTTCCTTCACCAAAAGAAAGTCAGGTAAATTATGTACATATAAAATTATATATCAAAACATTTAAATTATCTAATTATACATATATAAAAAACTACATATCACCTAACTACATCCCCACTGAGGGGCTCAGAGCCTACCCTAAGGTTGACTATGCCTTAGTCAACATAACTACATATCTTTGAAGAAATCATGCACTTCAGTACTGACATCCGTCTCTGTGAGGATAGGAGCAGTATCCATTTCATAAAATTTACTTTCATCATAATTTGAATCATATTTGCTTAAACTATTCTCATCTTTTATTATATAGTTTAATTGTTTTTCTTGTATTAGCTCAATAACATCATCTTTTTTCAAATTATGTAGTGTTATTTTCAAATTTCTTAGCCAAGTATTATAACTTGATGGATCACTGTTGATACTTTCCATTCTTAAAAACTCCATTGCATTTAATGCTCTTGTACAATGTGCGTCCGAATTGCTATTAAACAAGCATTCTATGGCATTTGTCATTTCCGTTACTATATCTTTAAAAGGTTTTCCTAGCTCCTTAAGCTGTTTATAATCATTAACAGGATCGAGTGTACCAATGGTATTGATTTTGTTAGATTTTAATGAGACTGGCAAGTCAACTTTAGGCAAATCACTAATCAACTCATTTACTTCATTGACCATTGTCTCATTTGTAACATTTTGTTTGGTATTTCTTTTCTTAACTTCAACTTTCTTGAGTACAAATAATGTTTTTAATTTATCAACAATATCAATTGCATTTTTCTCAATTAATTCAGGTACTTTAAACAATGTCATTATATCTTTTCTTGGCGGTGGCAAGGGTTTCCCGGGATTCATAGCTCTAAAAGCGATGCAATCTAACACATATTGTATTGAAGGACTTATTGTCTCCGCTACAGGGAAGGCTTCGTTATCATCATAATCATCTTTGTATGCATTCGTTAAATCCATTGCTTTTATCAATTTCTTAAAAGTATCTATTTGTTCCTCACTACATGTTACTTTTTCAATCTGTGGAAATGCCATATACTTGATTTCTTCTTTAAAACAAATTCCCACCATAGAGAGACAGACATAATCATTTGTGTCTATTACAGGTATAAGTGCATACATTCTTGGAGCATTTCCATTATTATACACTCTTCTTACGATCCCAACTAGATTTGATTCCAAAAGACATTCGACTAATATTCTCACAGCATCTTGGGCTTTTTTATCACCTTTCCGTCCAAAAACGTATGATAATCCTTCACCATTTAGATTCTGCCATTGAACTCTCTTTGCATCAGTAAATCCGTAAACCGTCAGAGATTTTTCCCCAGAATTATAAAGTAATGACTTATCAACGTCAAGGAATGGAATAAGTTCCTGACCATAATGGAACCCTTTAATTATTTCCGGTGATTTCACTACATCTTTGTTTTCAGGGTTCAAGTATACTGTTTTTTTCGTAGCCGCTTCCGTAGCACTTGCGGAGCCAGTTACTGGGTCAAGAACCGCTTTCGTCCATGACTTTACAACAGCTTCATCTTTAATTCTAAGATATGATGAAACTGGTATTTTAATATTAGGACCGATACATAAGTCTACATTCCATGGCATCGGATTTAGATGCCTTTTCTTATGGAATAGAAGATATCTCAATGTATCATTGAATAAAGCGGAAACACCATTTGTACTGTCAACTAATTTTTTAATGTAGCCAACATCTGCATTCTTATATATATCTGTATATATATCATATCCAAGGACATCCACTTGAAAATCATCTTCTTTGAATCCATTTAATACCTGAAACAAAATTAAAATGAGTCCAAACATTAAAAGCACAAGTTCAACAGAATTAAGAAATTGTTTTTACACATTTCACTGGCTGACGTCATTTATTATCTATGGACTTTTTTATAAAGTTTAAACTGAAATCTTGTATGTTCAAATTAGTGGCTGGTAAAAAGTATCTCTAAAAGTAAAGTGATCACCAAGAAATTTTGCTTTGAAAAAAATCCCCATAAATTTTATCTAGGTCATTATCTAAAAGAACAGACTACTAACTAAACTAATATAAATACCTGTTCAAATTGAGATTCATCAACTTTGGAAGGTGATTCAAAGTTAGTCATTAATATGATCCTTCTGTTTTGAGTTTTGTATCCACTGAAGCAGTTTTTAAAATAATCGGCAGCAACAATAAGTGCATCAAACCAATCACCTTTTGCAATTGTTGGCTGAAAATAAAATATTACATTTAAAATTTTAAAATTAACAAAAGTTGCCTGTGCAGACTTCGAAAGTAAGCAGTTATTCTCCGATTTAAAAATGTTTAAAGTAAAGAAATATATTGAATACTTACAGCAGTTGGTAGGTCGCGAATCATTTTCCAGGAGGGCATTTCAAGGTCTATCAAAAGTTCAATTCGTTTAAAATCACCAGGACATTGTTCTGCTAAATTATTTTTAGTTTTCTTCGATCCCAACAATACTATTCCAACTAGGTCCTTCCCTTGACTCATTATTTTCCTCTCGATTATACGTTTCGTACATTCTATTGCGTTTTCAAAAAAGCTTTTCTCTTTTTTATCATCATTCGATGTATTTTTCCCTATATCCAAAATAATAATTGTAGCTTGATCAACTTTTTTAGACATTTCTACGTATTTATTTAATCACACTTTTAGTATAAGATATAGTAATTGAAAGTCTTTAATCTAATTTAAACATCACAAACATAAATAAAAACGAAGTAGAGTATTTGCACTTTAACAGCTTTTTGAAACAGCAAAGCAAACAGTTTTTAAACAAGTTAAAACATGTTTTATTTTTATTTTCAAAAGTGTCATACTTGACCTTGAATTTAAATGTTACCAGCAATCAAATATAGATTATATAATACTGATTTATTTGGAGTCAATATTTTTTTTAACCCAATGAATTTAATTCTTTGATTTTTTAATAATAAAAAGGGGCGGCAGGAACACCGAGGTGATCAACGTCGCCCATGAACATCCGCAACACATTTGAGGAAATGGTAGGCTCGCTTCTTCGGTTTGAAAATACCTCCAAAGACAACTGTTCCACAACACGGCTATACGAGGCAGCAAGTTTCGCGAAAATCGCATGGTTGTGGAATCCCAGCCATTGAGACGGCGTGGATGGAACCTGGCGGTCTGTCGGATGACGTAACTCGGCGTTAGCTATTGTTCCAAACGGCTCTTCAGGCTCCTCATGGTAGATTCGGTAAAAAATGTAGAGGGAACTGACGTCCCTCCGCAAAGCCAGGGCGATCTAATCGATTTGCATAATAAACAAGAAATGACACAACTATAAAAAAAATAGTAAATTCGTAGAACTAACTATAACGCATTTGGAATTAATATTACATCATACTAGACACATTCAATTATTAGAAGAATGTTTTATTTTACTTTTTAGTAAAAAAAATTAAATTCGTCATTACTTACTAATAAATGTGATCAAATGCTTTTAAAACGTAATTTATTAAAAGTATTAAAATACGAGTGTAAGGAAGTACAGTGTTTTCAAGAAGCGGTAAAGTTTATTAAAATCAACACAAGACTTAGTAGGAAAGACAAAAAAAAACTCGCACAACAACGAACTACGGTCCGAGTCAGAGTACGATATGGGGCACTGCCCAAGCGCGTAGATCGTGGCGTCAATTGGCACAGAGAACGTTCCGATGCGGAAGCAGCCGCTGTGCGCAAACATCTGAACTGCATGAATGCTGAATCTATGTATGCTGTCCCCGATATATTACCGATGCCAATTCCTATCATGACTCTTCGCCGACTGTCCTTGCTAATTGTCCATTGAACAGAAGCTTAAATTCTCGGCTTTAAATCGTTCCGATCTTGTCGCAATGCATGTATGACACTTGCTTCTCACTACACCCGGAGCACCACACCCATGCACGAAAATTTGTATTTCGACGGTAAGCGAGCTTGAGTGGCAGTTACAGCTACTTCCATCGCAGCATGAGGAGCACTTATAACGTGAATAGGTCCAGCTTCGTTTCGCGTTTTACGGCAGAGTTCCATTGTATGTCCAAAATGTCTGCAGTAATGGCACCAGACTTGCTGCTGCCTTTCCATATTACTGGGCTGACATATCCTTCTCTGCAAGAAAATGCTCGACACCCCTGACTGCCTGGAGAAGTGCATCGAAATTCCCAACTGTTTCATATGGTACCTTCTCTCGAATGGACAGGTGTAGGAGCCTGTAGATCATTGCTAACTGCTGTTATTCTGAATGAAAGCAAGAATGAGGTAATAGAGTAAATAATAATATAATGTACAGCATAGTGAATTTGAAAGCTGCTAAAGATTTGGATTTTATCCAATAGTTAATTATATTGATTTTCGATTTTGTAGATTTTACATATTACCAAAAAATTCTCTAATATCAGAACTAATAGCGACATCTGCCAAGTTGCATGTGTCCATTCCACACATTTCTTCTATTGATTCTATTTGACTCAATGTATTATCATATTTATATATAAAGTCCATATTCTTTTCTTCTATTATTTCAATAACATCATATCTTTTTCTTCCAATTAACTCCATTTTAAAATTCTTGAGCCATTCATTATAAAATGTAGGATTTTCTCTAACACTTTCTGCTCTATAAAAGAACATGGCGTCTGTTGCTTTAGATTTATGTTGATCTGAATTACTGTAGAAAAGAGTTTCTATAGCATTTGTCATCTCTTGTGCTATTTCATTAAATTGTTTATCGGAACTTAAACATAACTTATAATCATCAATTGGATTAACTGTTCCAATACTCTTGGTTTTAATTGAATCCATGTTTTCTGTAATATTCAGTTCATCTGCACCTTCCATTGGTTCAGAATCATCTTTTTGATTGTCATTTATTTTATTTAAAACAAATACTGATTTCATTTTTTCAATTGCATCAGTAGCTTTCATTTTAATTAAATTTGGGACTTGTAATAAATTAGATATTTCATCTCTTGGTTTAGGCAGCGGCTTAAAAGGATTTTTTGCGCGAAAAACAACAGAGTCATAAGCATATTGTACAGAAGGTGACGGGACTTTAGAAATGTCGAATCTTTCAGAATCATCTAAATCATCATTGTTTAAATTCATTGCTTTAATAAGATCTTTGAATGCATCAATTTGTTCATTTGAACATATATACTTTTCACAATCAGTTTGCGGGAAAAGCATATGTCTAATTTCTTCTTTAAAACAGATTCCAATCATAGATAAATGATGAGTTTTACCTTCCTGTACTGGCATTAGAGCATACATTCTCGGCGGACTATCCCTTTTTTTAATTCCTCTGGCAATAGCAACCAGATTTCTTTCCATCAGACATTCAGCTAAGCATTTTATTGCATTACAAGCATTTTTATCACCTTTACATCCATAAATATATGACAAATTATCATAATTTAGATTTTCCCATTTTATTCTGGCTGCAGATGTAAAGCCATAAATATTTAATGATTTAGATTCTGTGACACAATTGAGTTTTTTGTCAATAACAGAAAATGGAATTATTGTCTCACCATAATGAACACCTTTAACTACATCTTTTTTATTCACAACTTTATTGTCAGCATTTATATAAAAAGTATTCTTTTTTACTTGTACTGTACTTGCTCTATCACTTATCGGATCTCTTATGACTTCTATCCAAGTTTTAAGGGGTTTTTCACTTTTGGTTCTAATATAAGAGTGAATCGGTATTGCAATATTAGGTCCAATGCAAAGATCCACCATCCAAGGGTTGCCAGTTACATGCTTTTTCTTATAAAAAATTAATTGTTCCATTGCATCATCAAACAATATACTAACACCGTTTGTGTTCTTAACAATTTTTTGCGCCAGGTTTTTATCTGAATTTGTAGACGGTTTTTCAAATAAATCACATCCAATAACATCAACTTGAATATTTTCTTTGTATAGTTTATTTTTAATCTATAACCAAATTGAAATATTGTTAAAAAAATTAAAATAAAAAAAATAAAAAAAAGAGTTCTCTTTAGACCTTATTTATATTGTCTTAATTACCTTTTCCTTTTTATCTTCCGGAATATCAGATGGTGTCATAAAGTTAGTTATTAAAATAATTCTTTTATTAATACTTTCCATTGTGCTGTCAATATTTTGGTTTGGAAAGAAATTAACTGCATAAGTTAAAGATTCAAACCAGTCACCTGTGTTTTCTGTCGGCTGTAATAATAAACAATAAAATCTTCTCATTTATACATGATATTAATAATTATTTTATTATCTTATCAAAATGAAGTTAGTTTATAAAAAAAGAGATACCTTACAAGGTAAATTTCTGATCATATTCCAACATGGAATTTCAAATTTGGAATTCACGATGGTGGTACTCCCGTCTTCAGATCCCATTAATAATAATCCAAGGGGTTCGTTTACTAATGTCATTATTTTACGTTCTATCACATGTATAATAAATTCTTTACTTCTCTGGAAGAAACTTTGATCGCCATTTCCATCTAAACTTAACGTGTTTCGTCCGATATCAAAAATTATCACAGTTCCTTGAGTCATCTTATTAATTTAATACTTAACACTAACTAATCTTAACACGCTACATTAAAGTTGTTGTAATAAAGTAACATTAAAAGAATAACGTGGACAATTATTAGGATTTTTGATATAATAAGAATCAAAACATTCTTTATTTATTTTAATTTCGACTTTGACAAATGATTATTGGTAAAAAAGACAACAGATTCAACACAATAAATATGTCATACTAGACGTGAGCGTTATTTCACGTCACTAGTTACAATCACCTGTGACGAGATATGTAACGGCGTCACTAGTTTCGAGTCAAATTGAAA